TATTAAGAAAACTGTCTCTCACATGTGCGAGAGCTTAATAAATTTATTATATTGATTACGATATTAATTGTATATAAAAATTATTCTCTTTGGATCATATCACGTCATTTATATTGAATATCTTAAAATATCTGAGGTGAGAGTCAAATAATACCACAGAATATTGCATATAAATTTGTTTATTATTATCTGTATAATATATTTGAAACAATATCATTCTACAACATTGCATAAAAATATACAAAGACATGAAAAAATGTCTTGACTCATTCGATAAAACATGTTCATGAATAATTGTCTAGCGTCACATGTCGCTATTACTGGAAACAAAACGATTCGATATGTCAATTTTAGTTTGCAGTTTAACTGATGTCGAATTGAAGCAAGAATACAAGGCTTGTGTGTGTGTGTGTGTGCATGCGTGTGTGTGAGTGTGAGAGAGTTCAACACAATACACTTCATAAATTTTAAGAACAATTCAAATTTAACCACAGGCAAATACATAATTTCGGCTTAATATTCATAAATATCTAGAAATAGATCATAAATATTAAGCGAAACTTCGTTCTTGTGTTCGCAAATTAAAATAACGTGATTTAGAAAACAGATTTCTCCGAACAATTTGAACAAAAATTAAAAATTACAGCGATCGAAGATACACCAACTCTCGTATATGTTTCTTATGCAATGAAAGAAAATTATTGTATTTCGTCAAATATTTTTTTGGAATGCGCTGCACAAGAAGCGTAAGTTTAATAATTCGACGAAAAAATAAGGCCGAGAGCGTATGTCTCGACTATATCATAAACATGTTTAGAGAGAGTACATAGGCCAGAAATAAAACAAGGTTTGAAATTTGTAGATTCGTCCCGTCGATTAAATCGAAAGGATCCATTTCGTGCGCATTTGTGGGTCTCGAATAAATTTCAAAAATTTTCTCGACAAAGTTTTAGCCGCATTCTCGTACGAACGCAATTACTGTTTTCTTTTGAGATCATTGATCGAAGGATAACAATGATAATTATAATATTAATAATAATAATAGTAATAATTAATAATATATAATGATAATCATATTATAATAATGTAATATATTACTTAATAATAATAATAATAGTAATAAAAATAACTATTCGTAAAGTATCCCTTACCAGGAGAGATATATCTATAACTTATGTACATATTTTCCGTGCGTGTATGATCCTCACTCTTTCCGTTTCTTTCCTTTTTTCTTTAAATTACGTATCGTTAAGATAATTTACTATTACTCGTCACGGTAGCAACATAAATAATAATGTAACACTATTATTTACAAACTCGCTTTCTCTCTTTCTCGCTTGCTTGCTCGCACGCATCCATTCTCTCTCTTTCTCTCTTTTTCTGTCTCACTCGTTCTATTCTCTCTTTCTTCCGCTCTCTCTTTATTGCTGCCTCGCTCAATCGCGCGCGTTGCGAATTTGGTTCGATGATCGACGATACATTCCTCCCTCCCCTCGATCGCAAACGCGGAATCCTCAACACTTTTCCGAGGAAATTACAAAAAGATCTTTATTTGTCCTTGGTGGGTAAGATTCGAGTAAATTGATTATTACGATCCGTCAGATCGGGGAAGTGTGTTAAAATCGTAAGAACCGACGTCTACCTCGCGATGCTCTTCTCGACGAAAATGTGCTTTATTTTATTCACATCGTCAAGCGTTAACAATATATACGGTATCACAAATCGCCGCGCGCGACAAATAGCGGTGAAAGGAGAGGAGCTTTCCAGTCGCCTTTCCGACGAAAAATCGGCACAAAAGATCGACGCGGTTTTTTCGCTTCCCCTGAGGTATACATACATACACACGAAGGATCGTACGAGGACAGGTAATTTTAGAATTCGAAGCGCGTCGTTATTCTCCTCGCGAAATGCCGCGCGCCCCTCAATTCTCGCGGAGAAGGGAGGACGGGTGCATCGCAATCCGTCTCTCGTCCTTCGAAAGCGATCCGTTCTCTCTCTCTCTCTCTCTCTCTCTTTCACTCTCTCGATTGTCTCGCCTCCGAGAACGGCGTTCGAGATGTGAGCGCGATCGTCGATCATCGCAATGTGACGCCGAAAAGGAGACCGTCCGGCCGGTCTGTTTTCGCGTTGCGCTTTCCGTTTTTATTACACATTCTATCTACTTTTCTCTCTTTCTCTCTCTTTTCCTGTGTCTACGTATTTACAGCGACGAAGGAAAAGAAATCGACAATGACCGCGGTCGCGCGTCATCGTCGTGGTCTCTTCATCGCATAAATTTTACTTCACTTTTCTCTCCTCCGTTTTTTGTTTTATATATATATGTATATCAAAACCATTTTCGCGTAGAAATACTGATCCCACTAAATGTCCCTCGCGGTGGTTAATTGATATCTAAATTTTCGGTCGACTGTCTTAGTGTTACGACAATCTTTTTTCCTCGTTTCTTTCAGAATACCTCATTCGGTCATCGTTTTCCGCGAAAAAAAGAAAAGAAGACTGCGAGGGAGGGAAAGGACTTCCGACAAGGGCCAAGTGCCAAACAATCCAGCCGTGTTAAAGCTTCGCGGGGCGCGAAAACGCGCGTTCAACGCATTTGTTTGAACGCTTATTATCGAGAGAATGAAGGTTCCACGACATCGCGTTGTGTCGTGCCGTGTCGCATCACCGCGCGCCGTTACGTCGCGAAAGGTCAACGATAATTGTCGCGTTTCACAATATAGGATTTTCACGAGCGGTACGAGCGCCTTGTCATTACGTTGGAGCATTGTCGCGAGGAAACGTGCGAGTGCGACCGGGCCAGTGGATCGTTGCTCTGCTTGCGCCCTGCTCAGGATCGATAAAAGCGTAGCTCGTGCGAAACGCCCGCAGCAGATTCGAATAGACGGCGGGCTGTAGATCGGTTGGAGAACGGCGGCCGCGTCTACCTAACGATATATTTTATTAAGCGCTAACGATTTATTAAGCCCTTCCGGGGAACATCTCCCGAGAAACGATTTTCGGACACACTTCGTACGAGGTTCAACGCCATCCGTGCGTCGTTGTTGAACTGTAACCGGAAATCCGGGACAATATTACCGTGGCGTATTGACGCGATTTAACAGGTCGAGATCAAACTGTGTGTGAAAATCAATGAAACTCGTCTCGGAGCAGCGACGACGATGACGATTACGAGGAGGAGAACGAAACGCGTTTCGAAACACGCGAAATCGAACGGGGCTGACGCGCGAACCAATTCTTATCACGATCGTAATTCCGTGAGGGGCCGGAATCGGCGAATTGATATTTTTAGGATACGCGTAAAACAACGTCTTTGCCCATCGTCGCCGTCGCCGCCGCCCTTGTAATCCTTATCCCTCATCGCAGCGTCGGCGGCGGCGGCGGCGGCGGTCGCGGCGCCGCCGACGGCTCCTACCCCCTTGCTCCCATTCTCAGTCTGCTCGTTTTCTCTCCCTCACGGTGATATTGATCCTTCTGCCGCGAGGCCCACCCACGCCGAGCAGCAACGTTAGGCTGCCATTCGACCTAGTGTAGAACCGTAACGCGGATGAACCGACGCGCGGAGGCGATCGAAAAGCCCCATCGTTCGCCCCCCCCCAAAAAAAGATTTTTTATGCTGTAGAAAAACGAAGGAAAATAAACAAAATTCAGTATTTTATTTATGTTTCGTTTTTTGGTAAGCTACAAAACAGAAGTATTATGCGAGGTGCCAAAACAAAAATCCCGACTCTGGATCAGAGATCCTTGCGGAGGGACAGTAAACGAGAGATATGTCGGGAAAGAGATAAAGCGGGGATGCGTTTGCGAAAGCCTCGCGTTGCGCGCCGCGATCGCGAAACGCTCGCGTTACTGCCGGCAGGATAACGCGCATTAATTTTCGGACGGATCGATACGACACGCGATAAGCCGCCGATGGTTTATCGTCCCTGGGATTTTTCGCGTGGTGAAACGGATCGAATTTATCTCGTTCGGTGCCGATGACGAATTTCCGACAACCGCGACGGCGACACCGGTGTGCGTGTGTCGCACCGACGAGACGGAGATTTTGGAAAAAAAGTTCGAAAGAGTTCAAGTGAAAAGATAGATTTCTTGTAGGAACTCAACGCTTTTTATTAATAACAATTCAACATGGAATTTATTCTATATACGAAATGCCCGTGTGTTGTATAATGTTTCTTTTATAAATATTTATAAATAATACGATTAATATATGTATATATATATATATAATCTATATATGCATCCCCCCAACCAAGGCCACCCTCGAGAAATTTAAACACGTTGCAACACCTTCGCCTCGATTATGTCGTGCTCCTTCACGATCGACTGTCGACAGTGCGAGAAATCAACGTCTCAACGCGCGCGCGATGTAGACCTGTGTTTTGTCCGTGCATGGGCTTCCCTCTTTGCGCAAAAAATCCTCGAACGTACAATGCCGACACCGCGGGACTAATTTTCTAACAGGTCGGTAACAAACAGCTCAAACTTTTTTTTTGTTTTGGTTTTGTTAGGCACTGCTTTCTTCTCCGCAATCCGTTCGAAAAAAAAAAGAGTAGAGAGACAACGATCCACTGTGACAATCGACATCACGCACTTTTGCTCTCTCGGTTGGTCCCTGATGCTCTTTCCCTACAACAATACGCACTTCCGCCTCCTCGCTCTTTTCCCTTCCCTCCCTCGCTCGCGTGAAACATACAAAACGGACAAACCAATGTAATATAGACATTTTTCATCGAGATTTTCTCAAAGATTTTACAAAGGTATTGACGTGAGAATCAGATCTCTAATCTTCTTCTTCTTCCCCCCTTTTTTTAGATTATGTTTCGTGGCCCCAATATTTTACAAGATAGTGTCACCCCACCCGATTGAGAGAAATTTAAAAAATGATTATTAATAATATTATTATTATTATTTTATTATCTCCTAATTCACTTGGCGCGGGACTCCCGCTAGCTTCTAGCGGAGTCGCGAACAAGCGACAATAAAATCCGATCGGAAGTCTTCGTGCACACTTTCGGCGAACGGTCGAGGATGTGCTCTCTGCGTAATGTATATATAAGCGCGGGATATTCGATATCTGCTTCTCTTATATATTATAACATTAATATTCCTTTCTGTCGCGTATTTTTTTTCCTTTTAAAAACGGTACTTTTGATTAGACGAACCACAGATCTGCTATCCTTTCATTTTTTTTTCATGTTATCTATGGAATGTATCGCTATTTGGAAGAATAATCGCAGATTCCTTTTTCTCTCTTTTTCACCCCCGTCTCCCTCCCTTGTAGCATCGAACTACATTGTGATTTATTATACGCTGTTAACGGTTCCGCATAAACAAACGACACGCGTCCTTAGCGCGAACCTTAGGATTTTCGTTCGTTATTCTCGTGACGTCGTGAAAATTTTCGAAACGAAGAAGTTACCGTTTGAACGAAATAAGAAAAAGCAAAGGGAACAACGGTGAATATTTCGACGATACACTCCGCGTGAATTCCCGAGAAACGATTGCCCTTTTAGAAAATTGCGAGTAGTTCGCCGCATCTCCGAAAATGGAATCTACCTCACCGCGATTTGTTTGTGTGCAGCTCTTCTCGATATATAGGGCGCGACACAGCACATTCGGTATTAAAATTTAATAAATATTTTTTTACCGATTAAGCAAATGTGCCCTGTCGCTGATACATTCGTTTTTTTACGTTTTTTCTACCACACGCTCCCACTCAGTCGCGCAATTAATTTCCTCGCGTGCACGCGTTTCCACCTGCATATTACGTCGTCGTTTATAATCACTATTATCTCATAATATTTATCTATGTACTTTATAGATTCCTTATTCTTATATAATCGGCTAAACTGTGCGACCTTAACGTCTCGAATTTCTTCTAGTTTTTTTTTTAATAATATCTATGTACAATGAAGGATTCTTTTATCTTGTATTAGTGCTAACAATGCAGTTTAGGAGGAAGTTCTTTTTTTCTCATCCTTTTCACCGTAAGAATCTCCGATGTATCCAACCGATCAGATCAGCGCGCACGCGCGCGCGACTTCGCGTCGCGCGTCGCAAACTCATAAAATTGAATGTTTGATAATTGACTTGCTGTTAATTGTAAACATGCCGTTAACGGCATAATTAAATACGCTATCCTCTAATCGTTACGTTACTACATTATTATTTCCACAATAATGTAATAATATAACGATATATATTATTACGTTATTATGATATAATGATATAATATAATCGTTACATTGTTACATTATTATCCTTATAAAGTATTAACGCCCGGCCGGGCTCGCCCGTCCCAGAAATCTTGAACGTTTTTTTTTTTGCAACGAGCCGGCGCAAGGTAACCAGGTTTTCTTTCTTGCGGCCGAATAGGTTCAGTCGAGTAAACTCTAATCGCCTCCTTATTTATTAATATCTCTATCTACTTGCGCGAAATTTCGACGTGAAAAATCAAGAGAGGGGAGAATCGTCTTGCGGAATGCCCGTCGAAGTCATCGCAGTCGTCGAAGTCGTCGACGCGGGCACTCGCGAAATTTATCGATCGTTCTCGACATAGCCGCCCCAGTGGGTGAACACTTGAAAAGGAAAATAGGAATCGCGGGTCTTTCGGCTTCGTTTCGCTCTTTCTTAAAGCACGATATCGCTTTACGCCCGACGAGAAAACGATAGAACGATTTCCACGTACTCTTGATATCCCACGCTATACCACATCTCCACGGGGCTAAACTCCCTCGCCCTTCGGCGATTATGATTACAAAATTAAATTTTACTAAAATGTGATTGCCTAGAAGAATAGTCGGCGGCCGCGGAAGCGGTTGCCGAGAATGCACTACGACCGGTTGTGGGACGTTGTCGCACCGGTGGGTAACTGTCGCTGACAAACTGTCAGTCGTCGAATATAACAAAGTACCTGCACATATCACCAACCTGCGACCGGTTTCCCTCAACATCGCGCTTAAAGGAGTCAATAAATTTCTGTACTGTCAGTGTATCATTATTTCCATCAATTGTTCCTTTTAAAACTCTCGTAATTCGCTTGAATCAAACGTCCTCGTTTACAGACAATGTTTTTCTCTAGATAAAAACCGAAGATTCAAATGTCAGAAAAGGACATTCGGAGGTCGATGCTCCAAAAACGTACGTACAAGAAAATCGATTCGTTTGATGCAATGAGGGAAAAACACGATGAGAAGGAAGCAGGTCGATGCGCGGACGGACGAAGTGAAATTCGTCGGTGTCGTCGCGCTAAGTATATACTTCAAGAGGACGGTCGATCTTACACGTCCGCCGTTGCAGTAAAACCGGCGTATCGCCAGGCACCGACATCCAAACCACCCGACCACACAGCAGGCGTGGTCCCATTACAGAATATCGAGATTAAAACCGGCCGTAGAGTCGAGAGAATTAAGCAGCTCCTGGGCGCTGAAGTTCGACGTGTCTCCCGTCGGAAGGTTCTCTAGGAATTCCAGGGTAAAGTCAGGGGCTGTCACGGACGGGTCCGTAGTGGCGGCCTGCGGTGGCGGCTGAGTGTGCTGCTGCGGTGGCGGTAGACTACGCACTCCCGGGCTACCCGTGCCGTACTGTTGATGCGGATGCAGGGGAGAACCTATTAGACACACAATTCATCAATTAAATGTGTCGAACGTTGCTACAGATACACGTAACACAAACAGTCGGACGGATAATTTCACACGGAGATTCCATTAGTGATGATTGTTATATGATATAATAATTATTCGCGCTCGAGCGTAATGTGTCTTTGTTTCCCAATTGTACTCGAAATATTTCGATCGCGGATCGGTACTCACCGGTACCAGTAACGTTGACTGAATTCACGGACGTTGTCTGTGACATCTGCATTTGCAACGACATTTGATTGTTGTTCTGCTGCATGGCCAACGTTTGCTGTTGGTGCTGTTGCGTCAACAGCTGCTGCATCTGCGTGCTGTTGGCCATCCCGGAGCCGGCTATGCCACCGTTTTGCGAGCGGATTAGCTGTTGATGTTGCATCTGCGCCGCGGTCATTTGCATCGTCCCTCCCGCACCGCCCATGCTGAAAGCACCTGTGAAAAATCGTGCGTGATTCAATATCAAAATCCCGCAATGTCAATTCAAATAATTTTCACGAATAACAGCGAACGAAATTTACGCGGGACGCGCTTAACCCTCTGTAAATATAATTTGCATTTATGCGTTTGTATCCAAAATAACATGGGAGCGACGCGCACATTCGTTGATGGTCCCCGACGAAAACGAGGATACCGTTCGCAAAAAATTCGAATTAACGCGAAATGAGTTCTGAGTCGTCAGCAATCGACTCGCGATCCTTTTGACGAGTACGATGGTACATCCGGCGACTCCGTATCTTCCTTTTTTATCCTTTACTCTCTTACCTTGGTGACTTTGCTGGTTAAATTGCGAGCGCATTTGCGCCTGAAAGCCCTGCTGCTGCTGCATCAAAACGTGTCGCCACTCCTGTTGGGTGCCACGACCCGCGATGCTGTTGCCAAGGCCGTCCGGAGGGCCGACGCTGACATTGGGCGGCCGTTGATTGTTGGTTCTCGGGTAGCCTAGTCGTTGATGCATCTGATGCATACCGCCGATGGCGGCCATCCCGCCGCCGCCCATGTACATATTACCGCCGGCCGCGTGTAACGCCTGCTGCTGCTGCTGTTGCGCCATTTGCGGCCTCATCATCGGACCTGTGAAAAACATCCACACGCGCCGTAATGCGGGACGTCGTCTAGCGTTGCTGCGGCTACTGCTGCTGCTATTAAGTCTAAACTTAACTTAAAGTTCGAAAGTGCGAAAACAAAGAATTTTGCGGCGGCACAAATACAATAAATTCAACCGAATTGAAGATTGTGAGTCGCGACGACGTTACGGCACGGCGTGAATCGTTGAATTCAAGAACGCGAAATTTTAGGGGAGAACGCCGCGCGGCGAAGAAGATCTGCAGATTTTCTTCCGGATTGGATGGAATCTCGGGAAAACCGGCGTCGACCCGATCGATAGGAGTCTTGTAGAGAGCCAGGATATATAAGGATAGTTTCGACTCCCTCTCTCTCCTCCGTCACCTCGCTAACCCCCTTGTCAACCCTCCGCCTCTCGCCCTCCAGCTTGGAGCGAATCCAGCGGAACGTCAGCATCGCGTTTACGCTCGGTCGAATTCTTTTCCGCGCTAATATTCAACGTGTTACCCGCGCCAACGTGCCGAACAACGGCGAACACGAAGTATCTCGGGCGCACGAAATATCTCTTTATCCGTCGAGCAACAGATTTTTATTAATGTATCGCATCTTTTGTTTTCGCGCGAAACTATCCATTTCTCACATGTTAAAATTTAGACGTTAAACTCTGTAAGGTAAAAGCGAACAAACGCATATTGGGTCGGTGAGATTTTCTTCTAGTTTCGAGGCTTACCCGACGGCGGCATAGGTTGTTGCGTAACTCTGCGCATGGGTCCGGCGTTGGCGAACCTCGCTTGCTGGCCCATACCGATGCTGGCGTGCATCATCTGCGCCTGGGCCGCGGCCTTGTATTCGGGCGGTGGCGGCCTTACGCTTCCCATTCCACCCGCCATATGCTGTTGCTGCTGCTGCATCACCTGTAAAAGTAGAAAACGCACGAAAGATTTGAGAAAAACCCAAGAAGAACGATATATCGAACGATTTAATTAACGTAGGCAGAACGCTCTGATCTTAATTAACCGAATGTTAGAAGGTAGAGGTATTAAAATTGCGTTATACATATTCTCCGCTTGCATCTCCAAAATCGAAGGTGGACACATTCACGTGTTCCGCTTTTTTAGTGGCTCGTTTCGAAACGGCGAGACTTGGAAAGTTGTCCCCGACGCCGGTTCGAGCGTACGCAGCGAAAATCGCAATGTGCGCTGCCACGCGCGATTTTAAGGTCGGCACGCCGCGGTTCCCGTTGCTCTTTCGCGGAGCCTCGAGAGAGCGAGAGAGCAGAAGGGCGTTGCTCGCCTAATCGCAGGTTGTTGCTCGGTCGAGAGTGGAGAGAGACGCCGCACCGCGCCGCGCCGGCCGACGCGACGCGGACGAGAGGAGGCGAGCGGAGGAGAGGACGGTTGCGAGAGCGGGAGAGAGCGAAAGGGTGAACGTATCTGACGGCGGCGAGGAAAGCGACGGGCGGGCTCGCCTCGGCTGCATCGAGCCCACCGAGTCCCGCATCGCAATCGTCGCCGCCGCTTTGCATTGTCGCGCGTCGTCTCTCCCTCGCCTCGGACTTTCCTCGCGACCGCGTAACACCAGGAAGCGGAAATCCCGGATGCTCTTGCGCAACGAAATCGCCGCACCGTCGCCGCCGATTCCGCTAAATCGCGCGCCGAACAACGCACCGAACGCGATCGCAATAGGTCACCGGTTACAAGCGTTATTGTTCAGAGGAGAAGAAAGTATACCCGCTTCCACTAATCGCGGTATAGACTCGAAGAGGGTACACAATCTGAAGAGAATTTCGAGAAAATTCGAAAATATTTCCTGTTCCTATTCTTTTCGTCTTATCGATTCTATTCGTGCAGATTTCATAATTTTGCAAGAGATATTTATATTGAGAGATATTATATTGCGAGTAAGAGATATATTTTATCGTTTCGATTTTATGCCTTTCGATATTATGCAACGAGGAGATCGAATGGGTTTCTGCAATCGTTAGCCGAGAGCTCCGGCAATTCCTAGAACTCATAAAACGACGTTGCGCGATGATGCTCCTGTTGTTCTGTGCACGTTAACTATCCTAATAGATCGGAATGGATACGGGGCCGATCATCCCGTCAATTCCCAATATCGCCGCGAGGCCGTGAGTAAGCGCTAATCGAGATCGCGCTTGTACAATTGTACATGTTGCGTGTGAGAGTGCGGAAAGGGAACAGATCTGCAAACGTGATAAAGGTATCTGTCTACTAACTTTAAACGTTTTCTGCTTTGCGTTAAAAATATACATTCGATATTCTAAATCTCATTTTTTCGAATAACTTCGCGATTTATACCTATATATGTGAAACATTAGTACCGTAAAATAATTACTTCAATAAAACAAACTATAAGTACGAAATAACGATTTTGCTGGAAGCAAAAATTTAGCTGAATACAGATCTGAAAATAATTTTGTTGGACCAACAAAATAATTTTATTTTAGAAACTAAAAAATAATGAAGCTCTGCTGTAAAACGTTGTAAAATTTTGACATTTTAACAATCAGTTTGAATTTCTAACAAAATTGTTTTGATCGTACACCAAAATTTTTAGACCTTTCAACAAATTCATTCTTTTCGTGTATAAAATATCATCAACTTATTACATTTTCTTAGAAAAATCTGTAATAAAAAAGGAAACAAACTATTGAAATTATAAAAATAAACATCATTTGTCAATAAAACTTTTTAAATTCTTCGTTAAATATAAGAACGTTTTAGATCAATTTGTGTAGGTGTTTTATACTCATGGCCAAAGTTGTATAATATTAATTATAATTCGATAAATACATCAATATAAAGTAAAATTGTAAAAGTACAATATATTGATAAGGAACTGTGGTTCAAGGTAAAGCGATTCAAGAGTGATTCAAGAATTATGCTTTTTCAATTCACATTGAAAACCGCTCTGTTCATTGTTAATCAATTGTATGCGCATATGCATGTAAAAATGTGTTTCGAAAGAAAGCAATCGATTCGCGCATACTAATATTGGCCGAGCACTCCTCGCCCGGGATAAAATCACCGGGGCTGGTCGTGCGCCCCGTTCTGGATGATGCACCGCTTTATCGCCTCAAGCTTATCCCTGCACCGGAGCAGGATGACTAACCGACTGCGCGAAACGTACAATTAGTAACTGGAGCACGAGCGACCGTCGTCTTTGGTACCTTAGTATTATCGAGATAACAATCGAGCCGCTGCGGACTGAGTCATCCGGCGATGGGCGGCTACGCGAACTCGGTGGATAGCTCCGTATACGCCACGCAATTTCGCAATTGCTACAAGATCGACTTCCTGGCGACGACTGCCTCGCGACGATCGTAGCTCCTCGCGATAACCGGCGAAGGTTAGACTGCGCGATACGAGCGCGGCAAAAAAATTACTTAACCTAATCTAAATCAATTTAAAAGTTTAAGTTAAGAACGACTTCCGTATATACTGGATTCTGGAACGTACTTTGATCGAAGAATTCGATTAGAAGATTTTTACGGTGGAGAATTAAAGAGTCGTTAAAAAAAAGGCTTTCCCCTTTAAGAATAGATAATCCCGAATTTTCTTCTCGTTAAGAAATCCTTAAATGAAACAGAAAAAAAATGCATAAGGAGACCGAGAAGTTACATTGTCGCTTGCTGTGATATTCTTTGCAGAATAAGCGTGCTAAATATGCTTAGCATCATCAAGAATCGTCAGCTTTAAGGCTATACAAAGTCTTAACAATTGTTATGAATAACAGCGCATGTTTCGACACTGTTATTAATCTCGCTGCTTAATCTCGCATGAAATAATCTCCGAGAGTAAACGCTAATTTGCCGATATCCCGCTTACCTCGATGTCACGGAGGTTCTCCCGCAGAAAACTCCGCGGCGCGGCGCAAAAACTTTTTCGCCCATTGTTCCGCACGTCTCGGAGAAAGCTCCCGTGTCCCGCCGCGCTCACGCTATTTGTCCTATTTGTGTCGCTTCTTTCAACGCGACGGGGCAGAAGTTGCAAAAGACCTAGTAGCAATACCTGTTGCATACGAACGTCGCGGGCTCTCTCTCTCTCTCTTCTCTTCCTCTCTCGCCGGATACGAGCTTAATGTCTCGGATAATATGCCATCGTGCCGCGATCTTGCGATCATCTTACCTGCATAGGCGATCGTCGCGGCGAAAGCTTTCGTCCTCCGGAGAGCGATATCGTTTATCGGTGTAACGACTCGGAATCGCGATTCTCGAGCGCGGCGATATCGGGCGAAGGCGCGAAAGCGGCATGGAAGACGATAATAATCGCATAAAGATAAACGTCGCGTGTGCGATCATTTTACTGCAATTACGCGAAACAAATGAAAACTGAACGTAATTTATGTACCGTAAAAATATAATTTTGCAGCCTATTTCCGCGCCATGTTACGTATATGCAAAAGTTCGAATGGAGGTCAATTTACGTCGTGAAATCGCTCGGACGACGTGGCACATGACACCGTCGTCGGGAAACAAGCTCCGTGTCGATCTCGAGGCACGCGCGTGTAAAACACGCGCCCGGGCGCGAAAATTTGTCGGCGCGCACAAAACACAAATCAGGCGGTCGCTTACCTGTTGCGCGCGCATCAATTGCTGCTGCTGGAGAAGCTTCGCATGCTGATGCTGATCGACCTGGCCCGGTGGCACCTGCTGCGGATGGCCCCGCGTCCCCGGGCCGGCGGCGCCCGGCTGCGGCACACCGCCGGCGGCCGCGGCCGCCGCCCGCTGCCTCAGACTCTGCTGAGTGAAATTGATGGTTTGGGACTGCGAGACCGAGCAGTAGGCGTCGGCCTGATTAGCCGACGGCCCGGCCTGATTCTGCGTCTGCTGCTGATTGAAGTACATGCCCTGCTGCGCCGCGACGGACACGACCGGTTTCAGCTCGCTCGTGACCTGCAAGTGCTGGCCCGCCGACACCTGCAAACAAAACGATGCCCAACATTGTAGTTACGCATTGTAGTTCATCGGGACAGATTGCGCGATAAAAAAAATTTTAATGTAATACGACTATTAATGTTATATTAATATTTAATGATTTTCGCGCCGATGCTTGTGTTTATTATGTCGAACTTATGTTGAGCGTTCGTACCTAAGGACAGGTGTAATAATGGGTTACGATATATCGCGAGCTCTCTTATTAGCCAATCACTAATTATACGGGATCATTACTCATTTTTTCCGTCACGAGTTTCCCGGAGAACGCTCGCGCTGTCGATCATCGGGAAAAGAAACTCGTGGAGAGAATTGAGATGTTTCTCGTAAATATAGTCCCGGTACGTCTCGATGGACGTTTAATACACGTCGCCGCCGTGTCTCGCAAGGCGCACTTGATCGCGAGCTAATATACAAGCGTCTGTGGTGTCAGGTAAACATAACGGCGAAATGTAACTGGCGTTTAACACGGCGGAGTTTTTCACGCGCTCGATCCTCTTTTACGACGGCGATGCCGCGGCGCGCGATACATCTCGATGGTGTAATAACAAGCTGCCCGTTTAAATCGGCTTTAAACACGGGATCCGTCTCTGTCGAACGGGACGCGACTTACGGTCCAAAAGTCGGTCCCTGCTTCTTTAGACGCTTTAACGACACGCGTGATTACACAGTAGCTAACTCGCTAATTGCGCGCACGCGGGACGCGGCAAAAATGTTACGGGGGCCATAAAACCGCTACGAAATTGCACACTCGCCCGCCCAGTAATCATCTCGCTATCAACATTTCTTTCTCTCTTATTTTCTTTTCATCGCGCCGCAGTGTTTTCTCGCCGTGGGACACGTGCGTGGCTTTCCGAACTTTTAGAGATTTTTCGAATTTGAGATCTAAGAACAAAACTTATACCGAAGAGATTAAGTTGACAATGGGATTTAGGTATTTTAGGTTGTTGGTAGCGACGGAAAGAATGTCTTTTGACGGTGTCAGGATATTGTCGCCACGGGTGGGAATTTCTGGAATAAAAAAAGTAGCTCGACAACAACGAACGGTGACTATTATTCCGCTGTCGTCGGGAACGTATCGCCAGCGATGATACGAAATGGTCACCGTTCCTCCGTATTTCATTTCATGCGACGAAAGAGGAGTGAAAAGGGAAACGGTCAAGAAGGATAAGCCACCGCGTGGTGTGCACCGTGTCCTGCGACGACCCTTCGATCCCGTCAGGGCTATCGCGAATCCTTTGTAATCTAGTTGCGACTTTGTACTCCGACACACGCGTACGTGTGTATCTGAACCCCGCAAGACTCTAAGTATAACCGCCAAATTGCGTATCGCGTCGTACAATTAATATATAACTCGCTGCCGTGCGTCCCTATATCGAAATTGCACGTTCCAACATCGGTCGAATCGGGTTTGCGCGAGATTCTTTCGCGAAAAAAGCGCGTTCTTAAATGTAAGTAGATACAAGCGTATACAAAACGCGAATACAACCGCGGTATCTGAATGCGCATGTAGAACACGGGACGATGACAGACACTTATGCAAATGCACAGGTGTGGAGTCGCCTCCTGCGTTGATAGCCGGTCTACTAAAATTGTCGAGATGTATCTACCTACATGTAAGTGTGAGCAGCAGCGCTGTATATATTGCGAAGAGACCGCGCGTGCGCACACACAAGACCGTCTACCGATACGCCTGCAGGATAATTATACGCGCAGTCAAGGATCGGTATTTAGTACGACCGGCGTAATTTCGCCGGTACGTTACCGTATACATATGTATATACGCATATACCGCGTGCACGCATATTGTGGACGCTATGTACAGTTACATTTACATGTATGAGGGAATTATCACGTCTATCCGCATCCGCTCGATGCGTATCCGTATACACGTGTATTTCGCACGATAAGCAGCCATATATACGCGCGCATACAATGCACAGCGTTTCCAGAGTTCCCGTCAATCCCTTCGCCGAAGTTCTGATTTGAGATTTAACAATCAAAATATTTAACACTAACAACTGAGGTGAGAGCTCCTCGCTCTAATATCGCGAGATTAATTTCTCCCTTAATGGGAAAATCGATGGTAAACTGAGGATTCGAGTTGCAGGACTTGCAAGAGAGCAACATTTCTCGAAAGCTCTATGCATATACATGTGAGCAACGCGAAGCAAAGAAAATGCGAAGTGCGCGAGGGCCAAGTGCAAATTAGAATAAAACAAACGACTTGCCTCAACGTACCTCCGGTCTGCCACACTGAAACAAGTTATTTATTCGCGTTCATATACGTGTTTGTTCGCGCTCACTGGTCTGATCTGCATCCGGTTTAACGTATGCGAGAGCGCTCGCGTGTCCCCCCCGCGCAGGAAACGAAACGCAAAGTATGTGCACCCGGCTCGGTCGCCGCGAATCTGAAGTACGATTTATCCGGGTAAATTACACATCTACGATACACGATGACGATCGAGAGATCGCGCATCCCGGTAGAGCGTACAGTGATACGCCGCACCGGCCGGTCGCGCGTAATTAGCCTAAATCACGGGCGACGTCCCGCCAAGGGGGTGGCTCCTGGACGCGACATCTGCATAGCACGTGTCTTGTTACTGCGACGCCTCGGCAAGGGCTCGGGGAGAGAGGGTTAGAGGGACAGTTTAGCAGATCCTCCCGCGTCTCCCCCGTAGGTGCCGCGAAGTAAGGGAGAGTATACTACGCGAGACGCGCCTCGCCGAGCATACTAATGGGAACGTCGACACGCGGGACGCGCGACGTTCGCCCGACACTTGGAAGGGAGCTAAAGACTTTTGCTCTAATAAAACGGCCGCGGCGGCCCGTTGCAGTCGTCTTATCGACCGAAACCGTCGTCGCGCGATTGGAGGCCCTTCCCTCGCCTCCCGCCCTCCTGCCCAAGTCTCTTCGAGAAGCTCGGGCTTCGACAGGGAGGAAGTCTCGCGAGGTAAAGAACGACTTCCTTCTCTGATTTGTATTCGAGCGTGCGTTCCGGTTTGAAATCCTTCCGGTGTCGAGGGGGCTTCACGCCGGTGAAAGCACGAAGAAGCAAAATCGAAAATGCGGACGTCGGTATACGCGCGGCACGAAACGGGGCAGATATGACGGACCCGTTTTTGAAAAATCGATAATTACGTCGGGGACTCTCGGAATGCCGATACTGCGAGCACTTGCAATTAAGCCCAGTTAATGATGTGACCGCCATTAACGAGTAATTCGCGAAAGCCATTAAACCGAAGACGCCCCGTAAACTAGAATGCCATTTCTGCATAGTATATACATGAGATATTAATATATTCAATTGTAATTTGTATTCTGAGATATTATATATTTAATTGTAATTTGTAATTTGTATTCTGAACACATTTATAGCTTTTTCATTTGATTGGGTCATATTTCTCTTTTCTTTTGAATTTATTATTGCATATAAAATGTTTTTATATTTTTCTCTATTAATTTTCGGATTGTTTAACACGAATTTTGCTTCATCGATACTGTCCGTCAAAAAGTCAATATTAAAAAAAATCGATCTATTCTTGATTCTATTAAATTCATATCCCCGAATGAGCACTATTCTGCTAACTAGTTCTACATTAGTCAATGAATTTTTTGCCGCATACGTATAATATATTCTTTTCCAATAATGTCAAATCTAATTCTAACCCAATATGTCATATCTCCAATTACTTATCGTATCTTTAATTATTGTTATTAATCGATTAGTTATTACGACCACTGATTCAACTTGCTCCCGATGCGTAACAGGCTCACCTGTGTAACAGGTGAACTTAAACGACATACATACGTTGTACATATTTATGTCAAATTAAATACAATATCAAATTAAACGAATAATTGGATAATTTCGCGGCGTTGTGCAATGCCTCTCAACGCATTTATGCGGTTCGATTAATATCCATTAACCTCCCTTGCGTCTCGGACTTCCGCCTGCGATTATTCTCTTTTTATCTATAGAATCTTTTTGCCTCAATCATTGCCACGCGATGTTAAAAAAAAAACTTTACGCGAGATGTCTATCTCGTGAACTAGTTACACCGTAATCAAATAGTCTACTTTTCATAAGTATGGAATGAGAGAACTACTATTTTATCGTCTGGCTTGTTTGTGTGACTGATGACTCTATTTTAAGTCAGATGGAGTTGGAATTTTTCAAATAATATTATAATTATATCATTAGAATAGTATATCCCAGAACATGCAAATATAAGGTTTGACAGAAATTTGTGCATAGCTCAAGGCGTACACGGGAAATAAGAGATGTACACACAAGGGTCAAACGTCCAAGAAGAAAATTAAGTTCCTTAAGTAAAAATTAGGACAATAGCCGCTTTTAAAATTTTACAAGATAAAATGAGGAAACATTAATTTTACTTTCTCTCTTTCTCTGTCTGTCTCTATCTATACTGGTTGTTCCAAATTAGTTTGTATATAGACAATCAAAAATCGCGTTACGCGGTGCCTTGTTTAAGGAAATCTTTCTAAGAAAATCCTTGGCTGCATAGATGGAAGCGTATGTTTAATACGAAGACCGCGTCTTCATTAGCTGTGCAGTGCCATCGCACTGCGACGACAGTCGACATCGTTCGACGATAGCAACGACGTACGTGTCCGCGTAGTGTCGTGTCGTCGCGTCGCGACGCACACACGGCCGAGGAATTCGCATTGTGACTAATATCGCGATGCTGTAATCGCTAATCATAGCGCACGCGTCCGAAGTGCACTCACTCGCGGGCAGAGTGCGACGGAGTGCGCACGCGGAGAAGTCACCGAGACCATTTCGTAAATTTGACCTGTATTCGGAATGCAGTATCTCGATCTCTTTCGAGCGCAATAAAGTCGCAGTTACATAAAGTAAATGTTTAATTCATTTCTTAAATTATATAATTTATTTTTTGAATTTGACAAGCGATATTTCTCTTTTGCTCAATTCATCAAATGCAAAAGAAGTTACACGTGGT